CTCTGCCCCCTTCCCTCGATTTCCCCTTTTTGGGGCCTCCTGGGAGGTCCTCGTCGCCACCGCTGGATTCGCCTCGGAATCCTGGTCAGAACGCACCCCAGGAGAGGTCCAGGGAGCATCGGCACCGGCACCCGTTCGTTCCCCCAACGACGGCTGTAGCTCCTCGATCTTCCCTCCCCTCCTCCCGACGAGCACCCCCCCTCGCCCTTGACAGCCGCTAGTGTGTTCAGACTGGTCGATTGGAATGGCCAGCGCCCTTCGGCGACGCATCTCTATCTCTAACGTGGCAGTTGCTTTAGGAGTGTTTCCCTGGGGCAAGAGAAGAGCAAACAGCAATCAACTCCAGGACCAAACAGCGAAAACAAGTTCTTTCTAATTGCGAAAAGCAGCAACAGAACAGCATATCAAAAAGCAATCCCCCGTCCGAGGGCGATCCCCTGGGCGAGTGCCGGGTCTCGCCCGAGGGCTTCGGCTGGATGACGCGCTGCCTGTGCCGGCTGGCGCGGCACTTCTGCGACGGGCGCGCGCGCGCGCGCGTCCCTCGGCCGGCCCGGCCGGCGGGGAGGCCCCCCGACGTCCTGGACATCATGGAAGTCGCCATGGAGCAGATGGGGTCTCGAGGGAAGCGGATCCTGGGGTTTCGCGTAGTTTTCGGGCTCTCTCGGAGCCTTCCGCGGGCACCAGGGCTGTCCATACACGGCTCCAGACGAAGAGTGGGTGGTGGGGAAAGCCCACGCGATCCAGGACCCGTGTCCCTGAGGACCCGTCTGTTTCGCGAAGAGGCGAAGACGGAGTTGGCATCGAAGGTTTTCCGGCGTTCTTTTTGTTTGGGGGGAGGGGCTCCATGGGTCAGGAGGGAAAAAAAGCACAGACACAATTAATCGTCGATTTCCCAGAAAATATGGGAAAATATGGGAAGTGGGGGGGAAGACAGAAACCCAGAAAATATGGGGAAATATGGGGACTATTTTTATTTGTGTGTATTTATTTGTGTGTCCTGGGGCCCCTTCAATGGGGCCTGCACATCGTCGCCACGGCCGGGCTCCTGTTTCATATTTTTCGTCGAAGCGCGCTCCTGGACAGGTTTCAGGGCACCGGCGGCGCACTGCTGGGGCTTCCAAGGCTCAGGAGGGAAAGAAACACACAGACACAATTAATCGTCGATCCCCAGGAAAATATGCGAAAATATGGGAGGGGGGGGGGAAGACAAAAACCGAGAAAATATGTGAAAATATGGGGATTTTGTTTATTTGTGTGTATTTATTTGTGTGTTCTGGGGCCCCTTTAAAGGCCTCCGACGTTTCTGGAAAAACACGAACAACAAGCTTGGTTTGACGCTGTGACGCACTTGTGTTGGGCCGTTTTCTTGTCGCGGCGGCCTCAACAGACAATCTGGGACGACAGGCCAGTCCGGGCGAGGGGTCCTTCTCTTCGCCGGACTTGGAACCAAGTTGGTTATTTAGGTTGAGTTGGTGTTTAGCTTTTGGGATGCTCAAATTTGTTGTGTCTCTGGCCCAGAGTGGCCTTGAGCGATTTCTGGCCATCTTCTCCCGACACCCTATTGTTTTGTTCGGCTTGCGGCCGAGAGTGTCCAGGCCAGTGGCAGACTGTCACCATCAACCACAGCACAGTCGAGAGTCTCGGGCCTAACGTCTTGAATCAATCAGAGCATTAATACTGCCTTTTGAGGGCTACATCGGGAGAGCTCTGACGCTCTTTCGAGGAGTGGAGTCGTAGGGTCACGAATGCTCATTTTGCGAACGGACCAAGAGCTCAGAATCGCTTGCCTTGTCATGGGCATTTTAAGGAGGCAGGTCCTGATGGGGGGCGGCTCGCAGGAGTCAAGAGACGCCATCTTCAGGCTAGGATCTGGGGGGAAGGTTGGCCCCCGTGGCGAGCGGCACCCAGGAACCCAGAGGACGCGCCCCTTTCTGAGAGGGGGGCGTCCTTGTGGCCGCGGCTGGACGCGGCGCGGTTAAGCTGAGCTGGCCCGACCCGAACGTGCCGAGCTCCCCCCAAGGTTGGCCTCCTGGCCCGACGCGGCCGTCGAGCAGCAAAAGGCTTTGCAGGGTCGAGCAAGAGCCGATCACCATTTCCCAGCTGGCAGGTCGGCTAGCACTGCCCTCCAGGACGACGGCAGCCGAGGCACAATCCCAAGTCTCGACGCGACTGGAGGGCAGTGGCCAACGTTTCGTTTTCCTTGCTGTGGGCCTCTTCGCCAATGTAGGATCATGCCCCCTATGAGCGCTCCAAGAGGAGGAGGAGGAGGAGGAGGAGGAGGAGGAGGAGGAGGAGGAGGAGGAGGAGGAGGAGGATCGGGAGGAAGAGGAGGAGGAGGAAAAGGAGGAGGAGGAGGCGGAGAAGGAAGAGGAGATGGAGATGGAGACGGAGACGAAGGGGGATGACCGAGGCGGAGGGGGGCCTCCAGAGGTCTCAAGAGGTTTCCCGAGGCTTCTGGCGGTACAAAGGCAATGCAATGTGTGTCCCCCTCGAGGTGGAGGCCAGAGAGGCAGATGGGGGGGAAGGCGGGAGAGAGGGCCCTGGATGCGAGCCAGCACACCGACGATCGCGGTTCCCTATGCCACAGATGCCAGGGTATCCAGCGCGCGCCGCCGCCGTTGGCGCCGCTGGCCTGCTGGCGGGAGGGCCTGCCACCGCCGCCGGAGCCCCAGGGCGTGCTCCGCGGCCCGCCTGCTCGTTGGCCTCGGCGGCCCGCGCCCGCCGCCGCGACCTGCAGCCGCTGCAGGCGCGCCTCGGCCAGCGGCGCCGGCGCTGGGCGCACAGCGGCAGCCCCGTGAGGCGCCGCTGCCCAGCCGTCCGCCTCGAGTCGTCGCTCCGTACGTCGGCGTGCGCAGCCTGCGCCGCCGGCGCCGGGGCAGCGCTCCCGCCGTCGGGCGGGTGACGAAAGGTGCGCCTGTCGTGCACCTCTGAGGCCTAACAGGGGCCCAGTGGGCCCCAAAGGGGCACAAAAGGTGCACGTGTCTTCACCCCTCAGTCTTAAGTCGGTCCTGTCCCTCTACAGGAGGAATGCTCAGTGTGAATATTCTCGTGTATTTGTGAATCTTCTTGTGTACTTTTGTTACTATTTTACATTTTTCGTCCCAGCTCCGCCTGTATGGGGACACGCCCGACCTAACCTCAGTCATCGCCCCCCTGTCAGCAACGCCCAACGCCAGCAGCTCCGGCCGCGCTCGCCGCCGCGCGGCTCCCAGAGGAAAGTCGCTTGCGGCGGCGCCTGCGCCGCTTCGCCTTGGCCGTGGGACGGCCTGGGGAGCAGCTCCGCCGGCGGCCGCAGCACCCGCCGCCGCCTCCGCGCTGGCCAGCGACTTCGACGCAGCCAGGGCTACGGAGATCGCCGACCGCGCGTCTGCGGCCACGGTGCGCCGTGGCGCGCGCGCTTCCACCGCAGCGCGGACTGCAGCCGCCACCAGTGCAGCGACGTCCGGCTCCTCGCGCTCTCCTCTGGTCCCTCGCGCGGCGGTCGTCGTGCGGATGACCGAGGCGACGGGCATGCGATCGCTTGCCCGCCGCCTCGTTCGAAGAGGAGGACGAGGTGGAGGGATGGGGGAGTAGGCCAGAGGAGGAGAAGAGGGAGAAGGAGGAGGAGGAGGAGGAAGAGGAGGAGTTGGAGGAGTTGGAGGAGGAGGAGGAGGAAGAGGCGAAGGAGGAGGAGGAGGAGGAGGAGGAAAAGGAGGATGAGCAGGAGGAGGAGGAGCAGGAGGAGGATGAAGAGCAGGAGGGTAGGAAGGGAGGAGGATGGGAGGAGGAGGAGGAGGAGGAGGAGGGGAGGAGGAGGAGGAGAAGGAGAGGATGCGGGGGGGGAGGGAGGGAGGAGGGAGGGGAGGGAGGAGGGAGGGAGGGAGGGAGGGAGTGGAGGACGGATGGACGGAGGGAGGGAGGGAGGGAGGGGGGAGGGAGGGAGGAGGAGGGAGGAGGGCGATGAGGAGGAGGTGGAGGGGAGGATGGATGAGGAGGAGGAGGAGGCGGACGAGGGAGGAGGAGGAGGAGGAGGAGGAGGTAATAGGAGGAGGAGGAGGGAGGGAGGGGAGGAGGAGGAGGAGGAGCATGAGAGGGAGGATGAATGAAATGGATCAATCTGCGGGCGAGAGCTGGAGGATGAGGAGCAAGGAGGAGGAAGAGCGGAGGAGGAGGAGGAGGAGGAGGAGAAGGAGGAGGATTCGGAATATTAGGACTATTAGGAAAATTAGGCGGATAATGGAGGAGGAGGAGGAGGTGGAGGTGGAGAAGGAGGAGGAGGAGGACGAGGAGGAGGAGGAGGAGGAGGAGCAGTTGTAGAACGAGAGCAAGAGCAGGTGAATGGATGGGAAGCGGTGGAGGAGGGATGGAGGAGGAGGAGGAGGAGGAGGAGGAGGAGGAGGAGGAGGAGGAGGAGGGCGGATGGAGGAGGAGCAATAACAGGAGGTGGAGGAGGATGAGGAATGGAGGAGGAGGAGCTGGAGGGAGGGGGCGAGGAGCTGCTGGCGGAGCAGCGACGGCGACGGCGCCCTTCCCCCGCGCGGGGAGGCGCCTGCTGCTGTGCCTGGAGGGGGGCTACAACCCCGATGCCATCGCTCAGTGCACCGTGGAGCCCCCGGCGCGGCCCCACGCGCCCCATCCTTCCAAGCCTCTCTCGAAGAAGGAAAAACCACACTAACAAATCTCCAAGAAGTCCGCGCGGAGCGCGAACAGTTATGTTCATGTGTGTTTTTTCTTCGTCTAAACCCAGATCAGGTCCGAGCAGGCGGGGTCGCAGGATCGCGCCGCATCGCCGATGCGCCGGCGAAGCGGATCGGCGTGGGGCCCGACTTTCTTCGCGCCGCCGCCGCCGCCGATGCCTCGCCGACGCCTCGGTGACGCATCGGCGGTGCGGCGCGACCCTCCGACCCCACCTGCCCGGACCCCGATCTGGGAGGCCTGCGCCCGCCGCGCCAAAGCCCGGCTTGGGCGCGGGGGCGGCCGAGCATTTGCGGGCCCACTCGGGGCCAAAGGGGGGACGGAAAGTTCGCCCTGGCGGAAGTTTCGAAAGTTTTTCGGACGTAGTCAGATCTCTGCACGAACGAAACGGGTGCGGAAAGGATAGGTACGATGTCCAACAGCAGTTCCTGTTCATTCTGAGCAGGACTCGCTGTCCGCGCCGCCGCGGCCGGTGCCCATTTTGAGACAGAAGGCCGCCTGCCCAACACCGGCCGCTGTTGGTGTGGGACAATATTCTCTGAGATCCGATGTCGTGTTTTTTTTCAATACGGGGTCCCCCGAAGTCTCGACCCAGTCCCCAGGACCGGCTTTCCATCCCGAGTCGTTTTTTTTGACGGTCCCGGGGCCCGGCGAGGGCCCCTAGAGGACGAAAAATACGAAACAAAATCCGTCTTGATTTTTTCAATACGTTTGAGAGGTCTGGGTTTGTTGTTGAGCATATCCATTTTTTCCGTACCCATTTCGGGCGTCCAAACAAATGTGTTCGAGTTCCTGGGGTGGTTCTCATCGGCCGCGCCTCGTCGAGGGCGTCGCCTGTTAGGATACACCCGCTCGATCCCCCCTCTAGAATCCGCCCGCCCTTCCGAACGTTAGGCCCGCCCGCCCGACCCGCCCGTGCGGGCCCGCCCGACCCGCCCGTTCGGGCCCTCCCGCCCGAACCGCCCGAGTCGTCTTCACCCGATCTGTCGCTCTGCCTTCGTCCTGCCAGTCGGCTACCGCTTGTGGGCGAAAAACATGCCCGTATCCTCGGCTTCGCGGGCCGGGCTTCTGGGCCGCGACCCTGCTGATACGGGGCGGTTTTGTTGCCGAGGCCCCGCGCGGAACGTATCCGTGCGACCGCGCATCCCAGCAGAACCCCGACATCATGATTCTTTCATCATAACGTCGACCCTCGGAGAATTGAACTCATTCCCCAGGACGGGTTTTTCGCCCCGAGTAGTTTTGTTCACGGTCCCGAGGCCCAGTAAGGGCTTCCGAAGGCCGAAAATAACGAAAAACCTCGCGCCGTGACTTGTTCATGACTTGAGGGGGTCTGGGATCCGTGGGACCGCGCCCTGGAGTCCAGACCGTGAGGGCGCGGATACGGATCTGTCCGCCGCTCGTGAACCGTGCCCTGGGGCGCCCGCGGAGGTGTCCTCGCCCCGCCTGTCCCCTTGAGGAGTGCGTGCAGTCCCTGCTGGCCGAGGCCTCGGGCGAGCCAGTCCCGCCCGGCAGCGAGCTGCCGCAGTTCGAGACGGGCGCGCGCCGGGCTCAGCCCGCCGGGGGGCCAGGCCGGTCCCCGAGGCCAGGACGGTCATCCCACGTCTCGGGGGCCGCCAGCAAAAGGTGTGGTGACTACACCGCGCGGTGAGTCGGTGAGGTTTCGGGCTCGGGCGGGGCTGAGACGAGGATGACTCCGTTCCAGAGCGCTCTGGAGCGCTTCAGAGCGCTCGGGAACGCTTTGTGGGAAGGCCTCGGCGCTCGCTACATCCTCCAAAACCGCCAGATCTTATAAAGATTCTCGATGTCTCCTTAAGTCGGGCGTGTCCCTCTGCAGGTGGAAAATCCAAACATAGTCTAAACAAATCTGATGTGTTTGACCATTGTTTTTTGTATTTCTAAGTTGTCGTCCAACATCCGCCTGTAGGAGGACAGGCCCAACTTAAATGTATCCTCGCCCGATGTTATCCTCGTCCTTGGCTTCGCCTTGGGGGCCGCCGTGCGGTGTTGGGCCTCGGGCCGTGCTCTGAGAGCAGCTCTTGGGAGGCCATGGGGCCTCCGAGGCCCCAAAAGACCGTGCGGTGGCGGGCCGCGTGGAGATCGGGCCGGACGAAAGGGGGGGATTGGGAAATGGGGGGTTACGAAATTTGCTGCATGCAGCTGGTTTCGGCTTCACCGAGGGGCCCATTCCTCGATACATAGCCGCCTCCGGCGCCGGGAGGCGCCGGGAAAGTCAGCTACATGAGCTGATTCTCAACCCCCCCCTTTGCTATCCCCCCCTTTCGCCCGACCCGAGGAGAGGTCGTCGGAGAGATGCCGAGGCCGTGCGCGCAGCCCGTCGCCACACGGTTTATTGGCGCGCGCTGGGCTCGGGCCTGCTCTCGAGGGAAGCAACAGCATAAAAGACAGAGGCGACGACAGGGGCGAATAGCCCAGGGGAGAGCAATCCATGAATTCAGGTGCGCCGATGATCTATGTCTTCGACAGGGCTCCCGGGCGAATACGTGTAGTGCCCGCTCCTGGCCTATTCGCCCCTATGGTCGCCGCCGACATCAACATACACTTTCGGGACACCTCGCCGATTTCTTGGATTGGCGCTGGAGCCCCCGGCGCGCTCCGCGCGCCAGGAAGGGGGGCTCAGCGCAGATCCGAGAGGTCCGCGCAGGTCTCCGTCAGTTTCTGTCTATGCAGTTCTTTATCTTCCTCCAGCCTCGGTGTGCAGGGCGGTCCCGGAGGCCAGGACCTCTAAGCACTTTAAACGGAGAAGGTTAAAGGCGAGGTATAAATCGAGCATGTACCGCTGCCGTGCCTGGCTCAAGCCGGGCCCGGCCAAATATATGACTGTGCCTCACCGAGGCGCACGACTGGTATCTGAGATCGGAAAATACCTTTTCCATTGAAGATGCCCCTTCTATCCTTTACTCCAGATCCCATGCTTCGTCTCGCTCTCTTGCTCATGCGATATGAGCCAAAGCCTGGGATATGGCAACGCTTGAAGCGTAACACATACCTAAGCTTACCAGCATGTTTTCGACTTGGTAGCGGAGCTGGCTACACTCTCGTGTGGCTGGCTCTCGCTCTGATTCCTGTAATCCACGGCACAACTTGGTGGACTACTACTACGGTGGAATACCATGTTGCGCCGGCTCTGCGAGGAGCGGAGCCAGTCCGCGATCGAGCTAGCGGGGCAACCCGCGAACTCGAGACGCTCTCTCCTACTTCACTGCGCTACTTCACTCTCGACTTCCACCAGATGCCAATCGGCAACTCGATCGAGAACGTGGTCACCCTGCGGGGCTACCCGCAGCGGGGCCACCTGCATCCCGTGCCAGTCAGGCGCCTCACGGCTACTACGCCAGAGCCTGACAAACCACAGCCTAAACCAATCACCGAAGCCGAAATGCACATGCACTGGATTAAGATAACTATCTTCGGCATTCTGTGGGTAATAATGGGATGTGCTGTGGGATACATGCGGCAGGGGATGGACGACACGCGTACTACTGGCCCTTCATGGGACCCTGCCGGTACTACGCCTTTTCGCGAATACGTTCGCGAAGTACATGCATGGATAAACGTAACGAGCGGCAATATGACGCCACCACAACAAGCTGCAGCACTACAACGAGGCCTTCAAGGTCTTGCTCGTCGTATCGCCATGCAGGTCCCCTCCCAGATCATCAACTATGGTGTAACTGTCAATGGACAGCCAACGGATGCAGTCACATATATACTGTACCTACTGAGCACCAAATTTGAAAATCTGGAAGATGAGCGCCAGCTCAACTCTGGCACTGCCCTTATCGACTTTCGCGTCGAAAGGGGCGAGCGAATCGACTCAGTGTTAGCTCGATTCGAGATGGCCCGTGACGAGGCTAACTCTGTTGGCTTTGTCATCCCCAACTTTCAGATCCTAACGCTGATCCTTTTCAGAGCGTTAGGCGTTGGCGCGTCACGAGCCCAACACCTGCTGGAGCCTTTTAATCATCAGATGCCCAGAACACAAGCAGACTATGACAGGCTGCTGACCAGGATGAGGAACTACGGACATGTTGCCGAGCGCTCTCCTGGCAACATTGCGGGTATCTTCACAGGGCACCACTCACATGCAGGTGTCTACGCCACGACTGCGGGGTCACCCGCTGGTCCTGGCGAGCCAAGTCCCTGGGCTGACCCAGCCGATATGCCCAACGAGGCCACTGCCTTCTTAGGGCAGACCGGCCAGGCATCGGCAGAGGCAGCTGAGGCGAACGCCTGGTCGAACTACTCGCCAGGCGCCGCCTACACTGCAAGCCCGCCCTCGGGCACAACCCTCTGGGGCCAAGCGGAGTCATCCGCTCAAGGGTCTCAGCCACCCTCACCGTTTGAATCTGGCACTGACACAGACACCTCATCTGACGATGAGCACAATGGCATAGTCTCTGCTGGTAATGACTATCCAGCGGATGACACTCACCTTTCTGAACAACAAAGAGCGGAAGCCGCTTTTATGGCTTATCGCAAATCAAAACGCCGTTGGAGGCGCTTTATGAAGAAACCAGTCAGAAAAGTGAGACGTGCAGTACGCCGACATTTCAAACGATATGGAAAGGGTCGTGGCAAAGGGGGTCGCAGACGCCGTATGCATGGTAGGGGTATTACTGCTTTCCTCACGTCCTTAACTGATATAGTCTTTGAGGAAGTTCTTATCGGAGGCAGAGGTCGGGGTCGCAGGCGGACCTCCGGTAAGGGAAAAGGGCGGAGGGGCAACCCTAGGGACGCTTCTGGCAATACTATGAAGTGTCATACATGCGGCAGCACAGAGCACTTGCGCGATCAATGCCCGAAAGGGAAAGGAAAGGGATCCGTACATTTGGCTCAAAATTCTTTTATGGATGACATAGACTACATTGACTACGAGTTTTACGTCAATCCAGAAGCGGCTCCCGCCGCGGGCTCCTCCACGTACTACGTGATGGCCCGCTACGCTGAAGTGACCGTAGCCCTGGAAGACTACGCAGTGACCCTCTTCGACGAGTTCCACGGCTGGGACGAAGTCGACGAGGTCGCGTTCAATGCTTGGTTCGGTCTTCCAGCGGGGCCACCCGCCGACGACGAGATCTCCGAAGCTGAGACCGTCCCGGCGACCGAGGAAGAGCTCACCGCCGCGCTGGCACCGCAGGTGATTGGCATGCCGTTGCTGCCAGATCTTCCGCGAGCTGGCTCGGAAGCGGGAGACGCTGATGACGAAATGCGGGGCCATCCCGCGTATTCTGACTCCGAAGAGGCCGAAGAGGACTATAAGGACATGCTCCAAGAGCAGGTCGCAGAAGCAATCCGGCTCCTGAGTGCGCCAGCACATCAGCAGATAACCATGAACGACCTGCTGTCGCGCCCAGGGGCTGCACGGCTGCGTCCATACCTGGATTCGGACATGTCGGCACCTCAGATGCTGACAGCACTCCAGGCTCTAGCGGGGTCACCCGCCGAAGTGACGCCAGCCGCAGCAGCGGGGCCACCCGCTTGGTCTATGGATGTATTATGCAGGGCTGCGACCAGATGGACCTCAACGACCTCACGATGGAGCAGCTAAACGACATCGGGTACTTCCGAAGCCCGTATCAGCACGTATTCATGGCCCAGGACAGCTCAGAGGACTCGGAGGACATGCGCTATGCCAAGAGGGACAGACGACCATCGCCTCCCCGAGACTCAGAGCATGACGATCAAAGGCCCATGGAACGTGGTAGTGCGTCAGCGGGGCCAGCCCGCAGGAGGAGCCGTTCAGCTCCCCGACGCCCTACACATGATGCATCGGGCTACCCGTACAGTACGGAGCACTCCGTTGGTGTATCCGCTCAGTACGTGCCGGAGTGGTACATCAATTGGTACCCCGGCTACTCGATGGACGTGATCCGCCACTGGTATTCTAAGGAATACTGCACCAAAAGGGACGAAACTGGCATGATAATACGTACCAAGGGTGGCAAGACCAAAACGCCAGAGGCTTGGGACAAAAGGGCTAAGAAACAGGAGATCATCAACGATCGCAAGACATACAGGAAACAAGTATGTCAGTGCGAGCCCTTCAAAGGTCACATGCGCAGTTGTCCGATGGACCGCCCCTCCAGGAGTCCTCATCACGGTGAGACCCCGTGGAATTGGTCTCATGGAGATGACGCCGGCAACGTCCATGATCCTAACAAGGAGGTCCCTGGAGGAGGAAAGCGCATCACAGAATCCGATCGCGTCCCTATGACCGAAGAGGTTGCCAACACTGTCAGGGAAAATTGGGTACAGCTTCCCAATGACCATCGCCTCAAGGAATGGAACCGCCGATTCCATAAAGAGGCGGGGTCACCCGCAGGATCCAGCAAAGAAGCAGGGTCACCCGCAGACGCGGCGCCAGCCGCTGGGTCCGCGGACGAAGATTGGATAGCTGTTGCATCTGCTGCCGGGTCCGCCGCCGGCACTGACCACACCGAACTGAATGAAGAATGGGCGGCGGAAGACGGCTCAGAGAATCCATTCCCTGATGGATGCGCCTGCTGGTACTACAGCTC